ACACAATTTGTATCCGATATAATAAACATCAAAGGAAATGCCAATGTAGTAACCGATACACCCATATTGTACGTAAGACAATTTTATCTTTGAGTACTGCCTCATTTAACATCAAAGACATTCAATAAGTACAATAATGAGAAACTGAACTAACTCTTTTATGTACCCAAGAACTAGATCTTTGTATTCTGCATTATGTATTTTATTGATTTTTCAACTCAAATAAATGCACAAATAAAAATGTAATTTCGATAGTAAATTGGGAACATGACAAATATATTCAATTTTAAATTATAGGAAAACCAATTCCAAATAATTCCTCTCTTTGTTCAAAATCCCAACTATGTATGGATATTTATTAACGTTATCGGATTTGCAATCTAAAATTGTGTATACGAATATAATTTTATTTTGACGAGTTATTTATGTTATTAAAAATAGGTAGTTTTGTTTCTGCGACAAATTTTCGACCATGACGTTGTTAATATCTCAACGTGAACAAATTGCATGAACCACATTTTCCTCCAGTATATTAAACGTCAACGTGTCAACTCCGTTAGGTGTTACGTGGTTTAACTTACTCAATAAATAAAGTATTTTTCAAAAATGTTGAACAAGAAGAGTTTTAATCGTCTTTTTTTTTAATGATATCAGTGATACAGTTAGATGTTAACCATAAAACAAAAAGGTCACTAGCGGAAAATTAGAAATAAGCCACTAAGCCACTAGCTTCCGCGAGAACGTATTCGTAACGGTAAATAAAGTGTTATTTGTCATAATCGATACGTGAGGAACATGTCATTATAGAAAAACCCGCAACGCCGCTCGTTTATTTTAATAATGGTTACGTGTCGAGTTTATTATAGGTAAATAAATTTATGTGTCAATAAAGTTGCAAAAGCACAATTTGTATACGATCTAAAGCTAGAAAGAAACTTTGTTATCACAACTTAGTGTGTTTAATGTTCTCTTACAATCATTAACCAGAGCCGACACTGTCTGAGAAAATTCGTACTGTCATGTTCTTCACCCCTCTCTCAAGAAGGATTTTAGTAACCATGTCAATAACAGATACTTCCGCCTGGGATACAGTACAGTACGTACCCAGGCTGTAAGCTTGCTTAATTCGAGGTGTATACTCCTGCTCCGACCCCTTCCGACGTTTTTGATCCAGAGAATTTTTATTTTCGATCCGGGACTGCCATTCAGGCAGTACAATCTCGTCTCGTGCATTAATCACCGATAGTGATCCTGCCAAATTTGACGGCATTGATAGCATAGTACCAATGGTTTTAATGTCTTCCGCAACCCATTGGTAAGACATGTCGGAACAGTTTTGCGCATATTGCTTAAATCTGTAAATGGTTGTTCTAGCCACTTTCTCTATAAGCAAATGCAGAGGAGATAGGACAAGCAGAACCTCCATTGCTAGAGTTGGCGTTGTGCTTATCGCACCAGAGAGTCTGTCGGACTTTCTTATACCAGGCTGCTGCTCCGTATGTGATCATAAGTCTAACCACAGTCACATAGAACCAGTACAGTCTTTCAGGGGTAAGACCCCAATTTTGTCCACAAAGACTGCGACAAGTCCACAAGGATAATCTAGCTAATCTAAACTTCCTGCAAATGTCCATTCCATGATAAGGTTTTGTCTAGGATTACTCCTAAATATTTGACTTCCTTTAAGAAAAAAATTTGTTCACCTTGGATAGTTGGGCGGATTAGTCCAAAAATTAACAATTGTCTTTTGCGAGTTTATCGAGAAGTTCTCTCCCTTACACCAAGCGCAAATGGTATCTAGGGTCACCTGGAGGACTTTACATATCCTCGACAAACAGATTCCTTTGAGCATAACGACAATGTCATCAGCCTTGTGTTCCTTGTATTTCTAGACCAACGGCTTCGGCTATCGCAATCAGATCGTCAACCAGGAGAGACCAAAGCAGGAGAGATGACACCCCTCCCTGCGGGCAGCCATCTCCCGGCCTGAAGCGTATCGCATCACCGTGGAGTGAAGTAGAGACTATTTTACTATCAAGCATATTGCGCATCCACTCCCCTGTCAAGAGCAACTCTTTCAAGAGATGGTGGTATTGCGTTGTTGAACGCTCCTTCTATATCCAGAAACGCACAAACCACGATTTCTTTATCCTGTAGCGTCCTGGATACTCTACCAACTAAGTTGTGTAGAACCAATTCTGCTGATTTTTTTATTCCGTTTGATAAGTATACTGGTGGCGACACAGTGGACCAGATACCAATGGCACCCTACGGATATACCGTTCCAGAATTTTTTCAAGGGTTTTCAACAGAAATGATGGGTCGAAAGACATTAGGAGTAGGGGACGAACGGTCCGCTTTAGGTATATAAGATACTCTTATCTTAGTCCATTGTGCCGGTACATATTTCCAGACGACACCCGCTCTAAAAACTTTTACCAAAATAAAGTAGGTAATAAAGTAGGTAATAAATCTTTATTTACTAAGGTGATATGTTTAATTATGTTAATCGTCTTTATTAATTTCAGCCACCTGGCCGTCTTCAGAAGACCTCTATAAGTACAAAATATTATAAAATATAAATCAAACGGATTAAAATCATAGTATAAACTTACGTCAGATATTATAAACGCACGTGAACATGTTAAATTTCAAAAACTAAAAAATTTTTAATCGTGAAGAACATGGTGTAATTTTAGCGGGAAAACAGAGTTGTTGGTGAGGTTAGGTTGCGCTGATCGGTAAAGTAGAAAACAAAAAAGGGAATGTACAATCCGAACAAAATGCAAAGGCACACACAAGTAATATTAACATATTTGAAGAAATAAAATTTCGAATCAAAATCAAAATAAAACGTAAACTTAATCTTCTTATTTTTTTCGTAATTCGGGGCCTCTCTATTTTAACAATGCAGCAGCACTAGTCGCCTCCTAACTAGGCTCTCTCGTTTGTTAAAAATTTTGCTTGTCCTTTATATGGTGGATATGGATGTTTTAAGTATGTGTATAATGGGGTTTGTTGTGGAATTAGTTGTTCGTTGAGCAGTTTCTCTTTGGGATTGTTATGAAGAAAACGATCTATTTCATATTGCTCCAAAAGTTCCATGTGTGTGCCCTTACTAATCTGGTGTAGTATTTTGACGTTTTCCTGTTCTTTAAAGTCATGTTGTGAAAAAAGTAAGTGTCTTCCAAATGCCGAGTTTTCTCTGGTTTTGTGTTCCTTAATACGCTGTTGCAATGTTCTTCCCGTCTCTCCGATATATATTGCCTGGCATGTGTCGCATTGTAGTTGATAGACTCCGTTCTTCTTTAGTAATTCTGTTTTGTCTTTATTGTTAATTAACAATAATTAATAAATATTTTTTTACCAAAATAGGCAACAACGGTCTTGCTGTAACAAAGCAGGAAAGATATTGTCTTCTCCAGGCGACTTGAACGGCTTAAACGTTTGAATCGCTTGGTCGACGGAAGTGTAAGTGACGACTTTACTAGCCACACTCCAATCGGTACTTGAGGAGCGTTTTGCCATGCAGGAATAGCCTGTTATGGCATTTTCAGCTCTCATCATCAAGCTTCTTGGGAAGTGAGTCTGCATGAGAAGCTTAGTGGCAATGCAAGTATAAAACTAGAGCTAACACTATATCTAGAACTAGAATCATTCGGGTTTTTGCCGTCTTAGTTAGTTCTACATAGTAATAGTGCTAAATCCGAATGTTTCAAGTTGCAGGTCTAACGTTAGTTCTATTGATAGTGCTTGTTTTAGTTAATTTTAGTGACAAGGCTAGTATTAGTTCTAGTTATAATTTTCCGTGATAATTTTCATACTTATATGTTTAAATTTATTGTAGCACAGTTCAGTGGATACGTTTGAAAATAAATGGTGGAAACGAGAATCTTTAAAAAGGACCAATTCAGCATGCACAAAATATAATTTTTCTCTGTTAAATGTACTTTGCATTTTAAAGGACCATGGTAATATTTCGTGCCGCTTCCGCCGGTAGGCAATTTCGGTACCTAGCGACAATAAAAATGGGGAAGTTTCCACTCCCAACTCATAATGTGCAGGATAGGCACGCGACCGTGTCGCATCTGCATCCGAACGTAGTCGTCGTCGAGTTCGCCTTGATTCGGACCTGCATTATTCAATGTGACAGTCGCCAGAAAAATACGTCGTGATGATAAATAAAATTTCAATTTCGAATAACCCGATTCTCAGTGTTGTCTAAATTTGATTTTCGTTTCTTCTGGTTATTATAGAAGGTTACAAAATCATTTTTATTATTTGATTTGATGTGAAATTGTTGTGAATTTGATCTCTTGGTCATAAAACCCGCGGACAAATAATCAAATAATAATTGGTGCTCGATTTACGATTGAAAATAAAAGTGCTGGAAATGTTGAACCAGTAAAAAGAGAGGAAGAACAAACGGAAACGAGAGTAGAGTTAAAAAAAAAGGGTACAAAAGCCGTGTTAATTGAGACAAGAGGGTTACCCGCCGGGTCGGCTTAATTGGCCAGAGAGCGGTATGAGCGAAGCGCCATCTGCCGGGTCATTACAGGCTCCACGTGGTGTCGTATTAACTGCGGAGCGCCGCGACGCCGAGGGGGGCACTCTATAAACAAACTTTTTAAAACGTCGTCCTCTTGACGGGAAAGCCTCGCTAAATCCGAAGACTTCTCAGATACGTAAACACTAGTTTCGAGTCGGGTCTTTCTAGTGGCGATGGCATGATGAAGTTTACAGAGTTCGCTCCGAATCTCTACGGCAATTAATGCAGCCTCGTGTCCTTGAAGCCATGCCAAGGCGAAATACGCCGCTAAAAGCGTCTTCTTGGACTCATTCCGGCACAGGCGGACTTTTTATTTCTCGTTGAATTATGTAGTTTCTAATGGACGACGACATTTATCATTTAAGAATGTTTTTGCACTTCACGACACTCTGTTAAGTCAAAACTCTCTTGTTTAAGTCATTTGTATCAACAAGAGACGCACAGCTAAATCTGAATGTTTCTAGTTCTAGGTCAAGTGTTAGTTTCAATAAAAATGTTCGGGGGTGCGCTTGGTTCTGGTATTTTAGCCGCTTGCGGAGTGATACTCCTCACGTTATCCTTTTTGCAAAACATTATAGGTAAGTTATTGGTTTTTTATTATTTGTTTGCTTAATTACTATGGATAATTATGTAGTTCCAGAGTTAGCTATGGATTACGAAAAGGAACAGGAATATCTTCAAAGGCTCTTTGAAGAGGTGGAGACCGATATTGATGATGATAATGCGAGTTTGACAAGTGACCACGAAGAAATCCAAGATCATAACACCGATGACGAACAAACAATTGAGCCCATCGATTTGGATGTTCCACTGTCAGGGAAAAACACGGGGCAACAGTCTGCTGCATTTTATATAGGAAAACACGGAAAGACACACTGGCGTAAGCATCCTGGAAATAAACAAGTAAGAACTCGTGCAGACAACATAATCAAGGTTCTTCCTGGTGTAAAAAAAAACGCAAAAGGAATAAAAAGTCCGCTAGAGATCTGGAGCCTTTTTTTCCCTGACAATATTCTAAATGTTATTGTAGAAAACACAAATATTTTTATTGGCATGGGGAATTATGATACATCTAATCGAACAGCAAGGCCAACCGACATTATTGAATTGAAGGCACTTTTTGGGTTGCTATATATTTCAGCAATGTCAAAGAATAATCATGTTAATGCGGCTGATTTGTTTAGAACGAATGGTACCTCTATGGAGATTTTCCGTCTCACTATGTCCGTTCAAAGGTTCAAATTTCTATTACGTTATATTCGATTTGACGATAAAGGTACTCGTGAGGAACGTCAAAGGCATGATAAGTTGGCGCCAATTCGAGAAGTATTTGATGCATTTAATTCCAACTTACCTAAATACTTTAGCTTGTCTGAATATACAACAGTCGACGAAATGTTAGCAGCGTTTCGTGGAAAATGTGGATTTCGTGTTTATATGCCCAATAAGCCAAATCGATACGGTATCAAAATATGTATTATACAACGAAATTGGAAATTTATACTGGGCAGCAACCCCTTGGACCCTTCAAAGTGCAAACAGATAATGTCTCCCTTTTATCTCGTCTTTGTCAACCAATTTCCGGTAGTAGAAGAAACGTGACGATGGACAATTTCTTTACAAGTATGGGTGTGGCGAATAAACTCTCTACCGATCATAAACTAACAATTCTTGGAACCATAAGGAAAAACAGAAAGGAATTACCTTTGGAGTTCACTCAGCCTGTTCCTCGGCCGGAGAAAACAAGCATGTTTGGATTCCAAGAAAAAGCTACGATTTGCTCTTATATTCCCAAAAAAAATAAGGTTGTTCTTTTGTTATCTACAATGCACTTCGAAGCCGATTCTATTAACGAGGAAACTGGAAAACCTGAACACATTTTAGATTACAATAAAACAAAAGGATGTGTTGACACAGTCGATAAAATGTGTGAGGCTTATAATTGTGCCAGAGCTACCCGGCGATGGCCCATGGTCATATTCTATACCACTTTGAATATAGCTGGCATCAACTCATTTATTATTTTCAAAAGTAATGCAGGGTATCAGGATAAGACACCTCGAAGAATATTTTTAGAGTCACTTGGCATGGAACTTCTAAATGAACACGTACGACGACGAGCGTTAAATGAACAGATCCCACGAAATATTAGAATTCGTCTCAAAGAAATATTAGGTATAAATGATCAGCAGAATTTAAAACCAATTAACCCTGAGGCCCAGAAAGGCAGATGTTTTCAGTGCGACAGAAAAAAAAATAGGCCCACCCGGTTTATATGTTTCAAGTGCCGAAAATTCATTTGTTTAGAACATTCCGAAAATATTTGTCATGGCTGCGCAAATGAAGATCAACAATTTGAAAACTAATGTTTTTTTGAAAATTTAATTCCTACTTAGGTAATGTTATAACTAGTTATAAGTTTTTGTTAAACAATTTGTTTTTTTGTTTTTGGTGAATATGAATTGTAAACTTGAGTTTTGTATGTAATACAATAAAATAATACAAAAAAAAGCATTAATTATACTAGTCTCCTTTTTTTTCTTATTAACTTAGGAGAAAACAGGTGCGGAGTATCGCTCCGCACGTTATACTTTATGTCTGATTTCTGCACGTTATCTCTGAAAGGTTAACTGTTTAGCAGCTTCCGTTTCTCTTTTCTATGCTGCCTAATCACCTAGGTTCCACGTAACGAAACCATAGCATTCTCCATGTAAATTGCCAATTACCAGTGGAAAATATATGGAAATGAGTTAAAACATTGCTTTAAATAACCAAAATTCGTTTCAACAAACATAAACTATAACACAATGCATGAGTGTCTCGTTAAGTAAACTCTCGTTGGTGGGTTTTCAATTAACTTAAACGATTTATATGAGCATGAAACGAGCAAAAATGTAGTTTCTCAACTCGCGTTCAAAATACAAGTCTCGACGGCACGGTTCGAGAGAGCTTCGCAACTACAATTACATGGCTCGCAGCAAAAACAACAGCACCGGGAGCGGGTGGTTGTCTACGCCCTGTTTGGTAGGAGTACGTTTAGGAAATAGCCGTGCCGGTCATAAAGTGCGATTTCGGGCGGCGTCAGACCGCAAAATGCGCGTTAAAAGGGCATTAGCCCACCGTAAAAGAACACCCTTTTGCGAGCCAAATCCAGCCGTATCCCCTTTAACGTATTCGTTAGGAGCTAATTCCCGCCCTGGATTGACCTAGTAACGCGTGGGCGGTCCAAAACGGTTTCTTTTCAGCGTCACCGTTGTTTATGGATGTGTAAACAGGCCCACGCGTTTGATCTTTGATTAGTTCGGAGAGAGGAGGGTCATCAAGAAGTAAAAGCCGAAATAAAATTTGCAATTTAAATACTCCGTGGTTTAATGCTCACCGAAAGTTGGAAATTAAACTTTCGACCATTTGTTATTCAAATCGACCAATGGAAGTTACTTACTTAATGGAAAACGTTAACATTATACATGGCCGATCTTGTGGAAAATATCTTTCATTCAGTTAGAGACCTTTAAAAGTTTCAACTTCCGCTTTTGTTCAAATGTATAGAGAGATTTAAAACTTACCATTCAAAAATTCAATTTATATTTAACTTTGGATGTAGGGTACCTATTATTTGATGTACCTTTTCGATTTACCGATTTTCCAATTAAATTCACTCAAACAGTTCAACTTAAAACACAATGCACATGTTTAATTTCTTTCGAACTCAATCCACATACAAATTCGATGATCCATGCGCGTTCCAAGCAATTAAACAAGAATAGAAAGCCTGACAATGCTTACAATCCCCATATTGCATTACACGTTATTGCATTTTGCTCTCACATTTCTACGTTCGTAATGAAACGCACAAAGTGTTATTATTAAAGAAATATAAAATTCCTCGAGACTTTTTTCGAGATAAAATGCGCCTTAATTTTCTTTTCGAGGCTCTTAATTGCCTCTCGGTTATTAGTCGCACCTAATTGCAAAGTGGTTGTCTTCAGGGGGTGTAATTAGCACTGAGTTTTCGCTAGTTTCAGAAGCCCTAGGAAATATTACCTTGCCTTTTTTTTTTCTTTTTAAACTTATATTTGCTCATTTTATTACACACTAGAAGCTGTATTTGATGATTATGAAAATGGATATTCTCTCGGAGAAGCCACTTAGCTAATGTAACATGTTAACAGCTAAATGTGCTCAGCACACTGTATTATAACGTGTTAGCGCGAAATTCAATTTATGTGGCTCGAAATTGTATTAGTCCTACGGATTTCAATCTAATGGGGAAAGTTGATAGAGTTGACTCGGTTATGAAATATTTTTAACCATATTTTATTAACCCTAGAACACTAACCATGCGTAAAACTTACGTACAGGGTGTCCCAATTTCGATGTCCGCATAGACCATCTCCGAAACTAAAAGAGATAGAAAAAAAAAAAATAATGCCGAAAACTCCGAACAGCTATCGTCTTTTGTTTTCGCCCTATCGGCAAAAACTGAAAATTTTGCAAAAACGACAATCGCGAATATCTCACTTATTATCAAAGATGGAGTATTATAAATAAAACATTATATGGGCAACTTTTTACGAAGAATTCAGTGGCGTAGGTAGAATTTTTTTCCCATCTTTTATTTTCGAGATTTTAGACGTAACTTTATTTTTTTAAGTGGAAACCATAGTTGGCTATGACTTCAAATAATTTGTTATTTTCTTCTGATAACAAATATATATAGTTTGTGGGGTATATTTCTTATAGTTATTGTATAATTAACAAAAATTCATTTTGTTCCATCTAAATCTAATCTTTAAAAGTTAATGTTGCTATGGTGATAGAACGATTTCCCCCCTCCACTTGTTCTCAGTGGCTTCCTAGAAAACTAGCCAATGAGAACAAGTGGAGGGGGGAAAACGTATCGTTTTGTTACAAAAGTTTCGTGCCCTAGTGATAACCATACATACTATGATGGAATATAATGTATCAATTTTTTTTGTTCTTTCTAAAACTATTGTATGTATTTAAAACTTAATGTTGTTATGGTGATAACCATACCATGAGGGAAA